CCCAGACTTGAGACGTCGGTACCAATCGAAGGTGGGCCCACGAAGGGTGCCAACGAATGACCGGACCATTAAAGCCTCGTTTCCAGAGATCATGCCCAAATGAGATTTGAAATAAATCAAGTGCTGAATAGGCGAGCTGTTCCCATCAAATGGTGTGAAGTTGATCAGATTGAATTTTGTCAGGTACGGTATTGAATCTCATTCTCTTGGATAGGGACACTTAATACCCGTCTTCTTTACTTCCTGAGCGGACATCAAAGCATTGACTTTATATTCAAGGTCTTGCATTTTCTTATCCTCATCTTCATCTCTCTTTGAGTAATGTTGAGCAGAAATAATTGGGCCACCCCCAGTGTTATTAAAAGGTGAAATTGAACCACCCCCAATATTATTGTTGGGAGGATCCGTTGAACCACCCCCAGTGTTATTGTCATTGAGAGGTGTATCAGCCATAATGATTTCATCCACTTCTGGATCGCTGTCATCTATGACATTCTGAGTGTGGCGGCTGGATTCAGCTCGCTGACTGGATTCAGGAGGTTGAGGCCGTTGAGCTTGCAATTCTTTCATTTGTTAAATAGCCAACTCTATTTCTGTCTTTATCTCAGCTCTAATTTCTTCACGTTATTTGGCTAGAGCTTCTTGAAGCATTTGAGCAAACTGATCAGGGGTGATTGTGAGCACTTCTCTGGTTTGCCCCGTGCTAGACATTGTATCATCAGAAGCAATGGCTGAACAAGTGTCTGAAAGTTCATCCTCCGAGGATATTCCTTCATGCATTCTCTTGTAATCCCTGCGTCTGATGGCTCCTAATTGGAGTCGAGACATTCGTTGAGTAATTCTTGGATTGACTTTTCCTCTCGGGGAAAAGTCGGGATTTGAGTCACTTGAATGCCGCTTAGACTTTCTTTTATCAACCATGTTGATGGTGACTTTAGGGAATTCGTCATCTTGGACAGCTGATCTTCTCTTACGGAAATGTCTCGGCTTAGGCTTCAACATCTCGGTGAAAAGCCTCTGGAATACTGAAACTCTTTGCAGGATTGCTTCTCGTTTGGAGTAGTCACATTCTGACAGTACTGCTCTAATGAGTCGCATACAGAAACAATGAGAGCTCATTTCTCGGACAATCCTCTTTTGAGTTTTGTTCACACCCCCAGCTTGATAGTACAACTCATCGGTATAATTACCGGAGAATCCTATCATCTGTTGGTATGAGCCCCCAGGTATAACAATGTCTTTTGACGAACATGTCTTCTTCTGAGGATGTAAAGCCTTGTTGGCGTTCTCAGGACAACTTGTTGTCGCATTTGAGCGATCCAAGGTCACGTCAGGAGTCGCATGTTTAGAACCACCCCCTTGCGAGTGCAGAGTCTTAACGGGCTCCTGAGTTTTATTACGAACTCCCAAACGGGTAGAAATTAGGGTTTTCCCATCTTGGAGTTGTTTTGACTTGATAGGAGGATACTTACGACCCCCAGTGTAAGAATCTATTTGGGGTTCATTCACCGGACCCCAAGCGTTCTTTGACCGGAGCTTTGCCTCGATCTTTAGGTAAAGGATCGAGGCCATCCGCCATTATAATTTTGGATTTCGACAGGTCAGGACTGACCCAGGGTTTCACTGGTGACATAGCGGGTGTTGACACAGTAGACGGACCCGGAACGGACGTTGATGGAGTCGAAGGAATGCTCTTGTGAAACTTCTTTTGGCCGCGGTAGTGATTGGTGTCTCGGTCGAACAGTGTGCCGCGGCAGCGGAGACTTCCGCGGTTGAAGGAGATGCCGCGACAGTATGAGTTGTCGCGGTTGAAAGAAGCGCCGCGGCGGTGAAGACTGCCGCGGTCAAAGGTTGTGTTCTGCAGACCTAATTTTCGTACGAGTTTGGATTTGGGGATCCATAATTTGTGATTCTTTGGTGCTTCCTTAGACACTGTTTTCTTCTTTCCTTCTCGTCTTTGCTGTAAAAGAGCACGGGCACGAGCGGTGTTTGCCATACGCTTTTGTATGCGTTCTTTGAGGGTCGAACGGGCCCTTTTGACAAGAGTCCATTCCTCCGACGTAAGTTTTGCTGAGATGTGAGTGATCTGACGTTGAGGTGACTGAACCACTTGATGTTTCCTCGATTCTAAGTCCGCATAGTAATGAACTCCATCGGTTTGTTCCAAGGCCTTAGCCAATTGACGAGCGCGGCGTTGGCGTCGCCTCTGACGAGCCCTCTTCGTCAGAGTTGGCGAACTTCGATCGAACGACTCCTTAATTAGGGTGGAATCATTATGAGCAGAGCTTCCGGCTTTGGGGGTCGCCGGGATAATGTTGCGAGGCAAGGCCTCAACAACGATTGGGCGAGAGTCTTCACTTTTAGCCTTCTTTGGCGTATAAGCCTTCTTCAATGATGAGATCCTCTTGTACTTGCGAGATAATGAAGATCTTGAAGAGGATGATGAGAGATATTCCTCAAACTTGGTTTGGTCAAACTCGTATTCGACCGTGGATTCAACTGGAATCTTGATCGGCTGCGACACGACGGTCTCGACAGCGAGACCGTTGGCTCCCACTGTGGTCGCCAGTTTGTTTTTAGCGAAAGTCGTTTCCATTGCCGATTCCATTAAAACTTCGATCGTTTACAGAGAATTACAATGAAAAATTGAGAAAATTACAACTCTCGAGAAAATAACACAGAAATCGTTTATCGAATTCTGATTTTGTGGGACTTTGCCTATGCCGGGAGTGCTTTGGCTCGTAGACCACCGATTCACAGATTGTGAGGGTGTTTAAAGATCCTTCCTTCGTTTATCGAAGTAGGGATTTGAAGCGAATATCTTATCGATGTAATATGTTCACTCTTCCAAAGATCAAGTCTAAGCTTAGATCTCTAGGAATCACCAAGTGATGTTTATGAAAGATGAAAATTCTCTCTCTCTTCCTCAAAATCACCAAAAGCTCAAGTCTCTATGCCCCAATCTGCTTTCTGTTCTTTGTTTCGTGTCTAGGGAGGTATTTATAGGGATAGGAGTGTACAGCATTGGAAACGGGGCTGAAATAACTGACCATATGACCTCTCTTTGGCCGCGCCAGTCAACACTGCCGCGGCTATTGGCGCGGCAGTATGGACTGCCGCAGCCAAAGGAGCGGTTATCACCACGTTCCATCGTACTTGAAACTGTTCTCCCACGACCTTTAACCACTTTTTTCGTGGTTTAACTGCTTGTCCACGTCAGCACACGTTCTATTTCTGATATGCCGCCACGTGGACTTTGAAAATCATTGTATAACTGCTTATTTAACCGTCGTGGCAACTCTCTATAATAACCGCGCCGCTATGTACTGCCGCGCCTTAGCCGCGACACTATGGGCTGCCGTGTCTTAGCCGCGGCACCATGTACTGCCGCGCCTTTGCCGCGCCGTCATGTACTGTCGCGCTTAAAGCGCGTCACCATGGACTGTCTGTTGGTGTGTACATTGTTCTTCCATGTTGTCTCGCTTCCTTTGGATGATTTCCTCTGACTTAGATAGTGACATTCATACCTATATGTATTTTTAAACGCCTACAGTCATTACCTTCGCTTCCATCTAAACACATTAGAAATACAAACAAGAGAAATCAAGGCATAGTCAGCATACATTCAAAAACTTGCAAATGAAAAGCAATATGCAACATGAATTTAACCATATTTTACTTAGAAATATATTATCTGGTAAAAAATATGACCAATTAAAACAAAAAAAAACCTATAATCATATAACTTATAACAAATCATAATAAAAACTTTACCTTAAAAAAATCATAACGAAAACTTGCATTATAATGAAAACTTCAAGAATATCATCATAATAAAAACTCTTATTTTGATAAAACAATAGAAAGAAAATTTCTTTGCTTTTTAGTTGAAATTCAAAACCAAATTGAGAACTTTAACATCGTAGCTATCACAATGATTGTATTAGATGTATTGAAAATCTAGCAACCTGGAAACTTGCACTCTACACGTGAAATCATGTAGCATATGAAGAGTTCATGGAAATTATGAAATAAAATTATGTAAAACCTATGTTATTTAAGCCCAAAAGTTAAGAATTTTTCTCAATTAATCAGTTCAAATCAACAAGAATTTCTTTCAACATTAACCAAATTAACAAACGGCCAATAGAAAGATACTAAGTAAAATTGAACACAAAAATAAATGAGAAATTACCTCAAGATTAGGGGGTCTATAATGGATACAACACTGTGAATGATGGCTTTAAGTGGGCTCTTGGACGACGATAAGAACATCAGTCTCCTTCAAGACAGGAACCCATCACCAAGAAACATATCACATTACGAACGAGGGATCGAATTGTAAGCGGATCTTCTTATTTATGATGATTTTCATTCTTAAGTGGACACGGATGGTGAGGATTTTCAGAGGTTGAACTTTCATGCTAGTTGATCTCCGTCACGAGAGGAAGAAATAAGCAGAAGCGATTTCGCCCTAATAATCTTTCCGAATCTCCTTGAGTGATCGTAATATTCACGTGAGTCGCACGTGACTACTTTCACAATATTCCTCTTTCCGAATCTCCTTGAGTGATCGTAATATTCACGTGAGTCGCACGTGACTACTTTCACAATATTCCAACTTTGCCCTGATCGAAATATTGATTTTGGTAATGCGTGAGCTTAATAGATTTACAGAGCAAACCAAGGGGGCTTATCAGAATTTGAGTTCCAAAAAGCCGTGTGGCCATGCCAAACTTATTGAATTTCCGAGCAATGTAACAAGTGACGAGGCGTGCACTAGATTCTGTCACCAACCTCCTCCTCCCATCTTTGACGAGCGCGCGAACAACCTCCCACTCCCACCAATCCCCGCCACGTGTCCACCACATCCACCACCCAATCGCCCTCCACGCATCCAACGGCCGCAATCATTTCCCAACGAACCCCCATCACCTACCTCATCCATAAACTATTTAAACCCCCACTCCTCCGTCCCTCCATCCTCAGGAAAGGAAAACCAAAAAGAAAAGAAAAAAAGAAGAAGAAGCATTAGCTCCATTTTCTTTCCTTCACCGTTACAAACTAAACAACAGCTAGCACCTCAATACAATACATGGAGAATATCTGCATGAAGACGAAGCAGGCCGATCCCCTTAACTGGGGGGCGGCCGCAGAGGCCCTCACGGGGAGCCACCTCGACGAGGTGAAGAGGATGGTCGAGGACTTCAGGAACCCGGTTGTGAAACTGGAGGGGGCGGACCTAAAGATATCGCAGGTGGCGGCGGTCGCGATGGGGGAGGGGAGGGTGGAGCTGGCAGAGGCGGCGAGGGAGGGGGTGAAGGCGAGCAGCGACTGGGTGATGGAGAGCATGGGGAAGGGGACCGACAGCGACGGGGTTACCACGGGGTTTGGGGCGACTTCTCACCGGAGGACGAAGCAGGGTGGCGCTCTTCAGAAGGAGCTCATTAGGTAATAAAATCAAGCTTTAAGACCGTTTTCTGATTGGCAAAAGCTGGGCCAAAAATAGTCCAGTTCTTTTTAGTTCATTTTAGCTTTAAGACCGTTTTCTGATTGGCAAAAGCTGGGCCAAAAATAGTCCAGTTCTTTTTAGTTCATTTTCTAGGGCTTAAACCAGTTCAGTCTGGTCCACAACTAAACTGGTTCTCAAGTAAACACGCATGAAGATTGAGATAGATGCAATGAGAAGGGGCCCAAATATAAATCAACAAATTCAAAAATAACTTAAAATGACGATCGTCTTTTAGTACATTATACCAGCAAATATATCTTGACAATGTCAAAGAAAGGTTATTTTATTTTATTTTTTCAAATACTTAACGACAAAGAAAACAAATGAAGACGTAATACAATCATTAGCACCAACTACAATTAGTTAACTAGTTAAATATTGCTTAAAACACAAAACGTGATAGCAGGAAACAAACAGCTCAATGAAAGGACACTTGACCTCAACAATCACAACCACCATGCAGTACCCCACGCGCCATCCACTCCTTCTGCACGCCCCCATGAACTAAGATAAAACCCTGATTTTTAATTAATCATCCGAAATTAACAAAAAATATTGTACACTAAATAATTAACTTAAAATTTGTACGGAAAATGAAGGTCCTCTGCAACTCCTATTTTTGAACTAATAACAATAAGGTTGATGCGCGCGCACACACACAAGTCAAAATTCTGATGAGATCTTCTTTGCTTCAGATTCCTAAACGCCGGAATCTTCGGCTCCGGCAGAGAATCCGGTAACATGCTGTCGACCTCTGCCACTCGAGCCGCAATGCTCGTCCGCATCAACACCCTCCTCCAGGGCTACTCCGGCATCCGCTTCGAAATCCTGGAAGCCATCACCTCCTTCCTCAACGCCAACATCACGCCCTGCCTACCCCTCCGAGGAACCATCTCCTCCTCCGGCGACCTTGTCCCTCTCTCCTACATCGCCGGAATGCTCACCGGCCGCCCCAATTCCAAGGCCATTGGCCCCAATGGCTCTGAGATCGACGCTGCCGAGGCCTTCAAGCTCGCCGGAATCCCCAGCGGGTTCTTTGAGCTTCAACCGAAGGAAGGCCTTGCGCTTGTCAACGGCACTGCTGTTGGCTCTGCGCTCGCCTCCACCGTCCTCTTCGAGGCCAACATTCTCGCTGTCCTGGCTGAGATAATCTCTGCAGTGTTTTGCGAGGTGATGCAAGGGAAGCCTGAGTTCACCGACCATCTCACTCACAAATTGAAGCATCACCCGGGTCAGATTGAAGCAGCGGCGATCATGGAGCACATCTTAGAAGGAAGTTCATATATGCAAATGGCGAAGAAGGTCCACGAGCTCGACCCCCTTCAGAAACCGAAGCAGGATCGTTATGCATTGAGGACATCGCCCCAATGGCTCGGTCCTCAGATTGAAGTAATCCGCTCATCCACCAAGTCTATTGAACGGGAGATCAATTCAGTAAACGACAACCCGCTCATCGATGTCTCGAGGAACAAGGCTCTCCATGGTGGAAACTTCCAAGGGACTCCTATCGGTGTATCGATGGACAATACCAGACTTGCCATCGCTGCCATTGGAAAGCTCATGTTTGCTCAGGTATCGGAGCTTGTCAACGATTTCTACAACAACGGCCTTCCTTCCAATCTCTCTGGAGGACGAAACCCAAGCTTGGACTATGGATTCAAAGGAGCAGAAATAGCCATGGCTTCCTACTGCTCTGAGCTTCAATATCTCGCCAATCCGGTGACCAACCATGTTGAAAGCGCCGAACAACACAATCAAGATGTCAACTCTTTAGGACTCATTTCATCGAGAAAGACAGCAGAGGCTGTAGAGATCTTGAAGCTGATGACTTCCACGTTTTTAGTCGCGCTCTGCCAAGCAATCGATCTCAGGCACTTGGAGGAGAATCTCAAGCAAGCAGTGAAGAACACAGTGAGCCAAGTCTCAAAGAGAGTGTTGACGACAGGTGTCAACGGGGAGCTTCACCCATCAAGGTTCTGCGAGAAGGAACTGATCAAGGTGATTGACAGAGAGTATGTCTTTGCCTACATCGACGATCCTTGCAGTTACACTTACCCACTGATGCAGAAGGTAAGGCAAGTACTCGTTGAGCACGCACTGAACAATGGAGAGAAGGAAAGAGATTTGAACACTTCCATATTTCAAAAGATTGCTGTCTTTGAAGAGGAGCTCAAGGCAGTTCTGCCCAAAGAGGTGGAGGCTGCTAGAGTTGCAGTGGAGAATGGAAGTGCAGCAATTGCCAACAGGATTAAGGAATGCAGATCCTATCCTTTGTATAGGTTTGTGAGGGAAGAGCTTGGGACTGAGCTTCTGACAGGGGAGAAGGTTCGATCACCGGGAGAGGAGTTTGATAAGGTGTTTGTCGCTATTTCTCAGGGGAAGATGATTGATGCTGTGCTCGCGTGCCTCAAGGACTGGAATGGTGCACCCCTCCCCATATGTTAAGAAGCTAATTTCCTGTAAGAAAATCTGGAAGGGGGTAAAGAAACTGTATGTCAATAGACATCCTTCTCAGTATTTGTTCTATTATTTCCTTTTTCTATTTCTTTTTCCCAGAGTTTTGTTTAAGGAAGTGACGTATTATGTGAAAGTTTAATTCATACAAACTTGAATAAATAATTCCCATTTGTAGAAAACTTGGGACTGAGAATTTTATAATGTGTCGATTAATCTAAATTTGCTAGGAGGACTTACATGGAAGGAAATATAATGCAGCAATAGAAAGAGAAGGTAAAGACAGAAGGATGATGCTCTGTACAAAACTATGAGAAATTAGAAGAACTAAGAGGGAAATTTTGGCAGAGAGACAAACTAATCTTTCAGCATCAACTGATCGTATGTCATTAAGGCCTGACTAAATGGTGAAAGGATGAGAACTGGCTGTGTATCAAAGTTTCCGCATACGACTAGATCTATGAACCACTAGTGGAAGCTATACACCTAACACAACCCCTCTGGCCAGCATCTAGTTTAAGACTTTTTAAGTCTCTTCTGAAGTAAAGAATGACAAACCCACCCTAGAGAATTCAGTCAAAATATGTTGCTTGTAATCGCAGCACCAACTTTACACGTGCAGGATTTACATGACATCCAACATGTTTCTGATGCAGGTTGGTAATTCAAGTCCCTCAAATCAATAGGTTAAGAATGAAACCCTACTATGAAGAACTTTGGACAAGACAAGTAGTGCGCAATAGCACTAACAACTTCAAGTACAAAGTATTTTTCATGCATGATATTCAATTTGAGTTACTTATTAGGAGCCTGCTGGTTACCGCATGTTTCGTAAAAATGGATAACTAAAAGAGCCTACTGTAGCTAACACAAGTGTTACACAGATTGGGAGATTGGGAATTCATTAGTGTTTCCTTCTATAATCTGTGGAGGTGCAAAATCCTATCCATTGTCTCGGCTTCTGAAAATTGCTCATTTCATGTTCTACATACCAATTCACCTTTTCCTGCAGTCTAACATACCTTTTTTGCGGTATGCATATCAAATTTATTCTGGCTACTATGTTTATTAAAGTTACAAATTTTGTGCCTGAGATTATTGACAAATAAGCTTAAACTCAAATGCATATTCTGGTTAAGATTTAGAAAAAGTATAGCTAATAAATTAGATTTGGGCCTTTGCAGATGTCAATCCTAACCCAACCACCAAACTAGAGTGGTGAACTAATTCTTCACCCAAATTATGCGTGCCGGATCCAGTAATATAGTGTTTTGTGACAGAGAACATACAATGTTTTTAAATGCCAGTTTTATAATGTGCATCACACGTGTTGTGTCTTGTGGTATAATGTCACACTCAATGAGTTGTCAAGTTAAAGCTTACTTTGGTGGGTGATATATAGAAAGAAATGCCAAGAGATAAAAGGCAATGAGACTGAGGTTTAAGAACATTTTACCAACAAACTTACTAACTAAATGTCAAAGAAAACTAGTCTAGACAGCCTAAAAGAGGGGGGGGGGGGATACTAGCACAAAATGCAGTTATGAGTATACAGAGAACGTAACACATGAGGATGATCATATAAGTCAATAGTAAAGCACTGACCTCAACAACCCAGCACATCAGCCTCGGCTTATTCCTCATTTGACGACTTACCTTTGAGGGGCACTGAAATCTCCTGTGCAAAGAAAAAGATAAAGTAGTTACCCATTAATTCATGTAGCTGTACCACTCCATAAAAAAGACGACTGGTTTTATTTAACTTCTAACGAAAGGCATAAAAGATTAAAACTAAAAGTAAATTTTTTATTAAACTAAAGGAAATCTTGCTAATAAAATACCCAGCTTGACAACTATGGAGGAAAAAAAATTAATTGGGAGTATTATTGTACAACCAAACTAGTTCTTACGATTAACAGTTGGAATCCATGCCGACAATCTGAATTGATACAAAGCTTTTTTTGAAAAAGGAAAGACTTTCTATAAGAATCATGAATATCAAATGCTAAGAAAAACAACCACATCATTTGCACTCTGCAGATAACAAGCTCATGCTGTAGTATAATCAACTTTTGCCATATCCCAAATCTTCCTTGATGTAACAAAAGGCACATTGCCTTCTTAAAGAAACAAACAGAAAAGTCATCATATGTGTGATGAAAATACGTAGGAACAGATCTCAGATCCTTAAAAGGGAATTCTCTTCCTATCATGCTCATCACTTCACTTGCCGGACTAACTAATAGTGAAATGAGTTTCACAGTTTTTGGGGAAACAAAAAGCTTTCTCTCGCTGGCAGTTCCTCATCTTTGACTCATCTGATTCACTTCTTGCAATGCAAACCAGTGCTCGATCCTCTCTAGGGCACTTCTGCATTGACTAATTTTACTTGACTCGTATAGTGACAGGTTTAACTCAACAGAATATTGTCCCTTAAAACTTCATAGAGGCTTGATCTGACACGAATTTACTAAAGCTGACGAATTCATTCTGACGCTTATCATTGTGTTCCATAAAGCATAATTTTCTTGCTCCAGTTTCTGGAAAGAACCGAGCTTGTATAACTTCTTAGCCATTTTTGCATAGGAGCTTTCTTACAAAATTTGCTCCACGAGGTTTGCTCCTAGATGGTAGTTCACTTGTTGGTGAGGTAGCCGTCACTAAATTCTGCATTATTCTGAAGACGGCAGAGAGGACGACAAGGTTGCTGGCCTCAAACTGGAAATTTAATAGCAGAGAGGACTTCAGGAGAACATCGAAGATTTTGGCCTCAAGAAGGACAAATTCAGTCAAGACCCGAAACCAACAGCAGTGCTACTGACAACTGTGAGGCCATCTTTTGTCTGCAGTTGAAGGATTCGTGGATTATTCCTGATAGCTTTGATGCTCAGAAGAACCAACTTGGCTGCTATCAGGAGCAATAGCTTTTGAAATTGGAACACCTGTTAGTTTTCCAATAAGTGTAGAATAAGAGGACAACGGAGATACGCGGGGTGTATTATTGTTGAGGAAGTAATAGCTTCAAGGATATTAAAGCGGGTGTCAGAGTAGCCATAGAGAAAGGTGTTGGTTTGGACTAGCATTGCAGTATAAGTAGACGAAGCATGTTGCCAGACTGCTGGCTGGAGGCGAAGTTCCAGCATTCGGGAACCTGACCCCAAGAATTTTTGGTCAATTGCCTTAATCAGTTCATCGTCACAGAAGCTTGATGGTGGGAGCTCCCTGTTGATGCCTGTTATTACTTCCTTGATGCTTGGCTTACTGTGTTGTCAATTGCTAGAGTGAAATTCTCCTTCAAGTGCCTCAGATGAACGACGTGGCAGAGTGACCAAGGAGGTGGATGTCATAAGCTGCAATTCCGGAGATCAACCCCAAAGCATTGACATCCTGCTTGGGCTTTTCTGAACTCTGCACATGGTTAGTCACTGGTTGGCAGGATGCTGCAGTTCAGAGCAGTAGGCAACTTGGCTTTGCTCCTTTGAACCTATAGTACAATCTTGGGTTCCGCCACCCTCCATAGGGACTGGATGGATGATATTTTTATTGAAATCATTGACTACCTTGGAGAATTAGGCAAACACGGGCTTCCTAATGGCAGCAATTTCAAACCTGGAATTGTCCATTGAGACACCAATCAGCATCCCTTGGAAGGTGTGCTACCATTGAGGGTCTTGTATGTCCATCAGAAACGTAGGAGCAATTCCACAAGTAAATTAAGCAACTCACAAATTCATTTTTCCTGGAAACTCAGAATGTCAAACCTCAAACAAATCATTCTATGATGGACATACACAAATAGGACACACTGTATGTTATTAACTCGGACCCAAAATGCAAAACTTCAAAACATTAGGTTCAAAATGAGGGAAATGGATAAAGAAACACATAATTATCACTCTTTTGTTCATTTAAAAGAATTACATCTACAAATCAATCAATCATGGATGATGTCAGTTCTATTGAAATAATGCCAGTTCTATGAATAATGCCAGTTCTACGGATAATGCCAGTTACATCTAGGAATCATATGAACCCTCTGGTAACCACCACCTTTACAAACCTACCTATGAACTGGCAAAAATAGAGATAACCCCTTCAGCCATCGCATTTAGGAGCTAAGAAATCATACACTGATTTATACACAAAAAAGGAAAAATAGGAATTAATTTAAGGACTGTTTAATTAAAACTCCATTATAAAACCGATACCATTACCATTAATTTACTTTCTTCCTTTGAAAATCTAACGTAAAGTTCAATAAGCACCTGCATTGACATGTCAACTAACCGATGGCTACTCGTAAAAGAAAACAATCAAGCTTGCTAACCTCCACTTAAAACTATCATACCTAAACATCTTGTAGTGTTATAAAATGATGATATCAAATATTGTTTAGGTGGATCTCTTGAGTCTTAACGGTCAATTCTCATCACATCTTTTACCATGCTCGTGTATATTAATATTTTTTTTAATAGAGTAGTTTGAACATAATTGGGGTATTCTAATAAATCCTGCCTTAACAAGACACTTCATCTAAAATCTACATCAGTTGGATCGCAGTTCACTTTCAAGAAGCATTAACAAGACACTTCATCTAAAACTAAAACTGACATGCAATAGAAAATAATACCAACCGCAAAAAACATTCCCCTTCTGAACCACAGAAGTTAGTCTATCCAAATCAAGCCCAAAGGGTTAAAAGATGTCATCAAGCAAGCATTTTTTTGTCACTATTAAAGTAAGAGAGAGAGAGAGAGAGAGTCATGGGTAAATTTCCCTTGAGTTGAATATTAAGTGTGCACATATATTTATGCAAGCAGAGGAGGGTGAGGTGTGTTCTCACAACCAATGTGGGACTAAAACCCACTACAATACACTATTATCAACAGTCACCAAGAACTGATTTGAACAAAATATAGTCATTTGATACCCCTGTGCTTCTTAGCATATTTTAACAAACATTTCCGAAAATCCAACAACTCAACCTTGCACACTAATGTGTTTCACTGAAACCCTTTCTGGTTTATATTTTACCTCAAAAGACTGATGGAGGTGCCTCTCCTCTAATTACCGGGTCAACCGACCTCTTGTCAGTTCATCAGGACAGGGCTGTGTAGATCAATTCAAGAAGCATACATCAAAAGTTTGTAAAACTTTTGCATTCGATGGCGCATAAGCGAAAAGCCAAAAACGCAAGTGTAAACACCAAATCAAGAAGCATTAGAAACTAGAACTTTTTGAGGCCACGCGCTCCAAAAAGAAGAGGGGGGAAATTATAAAAACCCTTGAGAACCAATTCCAACCCTTTTACTGAAACTGGAGTACAACATCAAAAAAACACCACACACATCCAGTTAACAAACTAAACAACGGGCATCGTTAACAAAGCACAAACCTCACTAAAAACACAATCTTTTCGAACCTCCGTACCTCGGCCCCACATAAAACCGCACAAATCTCACTAATTTCGAAAGCGAAACCCTAATTCTTCTTGCTCCTTTGGGGCAGCCTCTCAGCGACGAGCCTGTAGATCCAGTAGACCTGAGCACAAGAGAGAAACGTCGGTGAGTAGGGTTTTTTTTTTTTTTAGAGCGAGCAAAAGGCTTCGAAGACTAGGGTTTTAGCTTGATTAATGGGCTACCAGTGCGAAGACGTGGGCTGCGATGAGGACGACGACGAGGAGAGGGACCAGATCTAGAAACCACGGCCGAGGAATCGGCATCTCCCTCGCCATCCGACTCAGATTTGGCCAAGGCTCCCCCTCTCTTCTCCTCTCTTCTCTCCTCTTATTTCTACTTGCCCTCCGCTTTGTATATTTATTTTGTCGGGTGCTTTTGCATATTTACCCCTATGCAATTTGCTTTTGTTATTCATTGCCCCGCCCAGTTCATTTTGCTTACGTGCCCCGAACAGGCATCTTGTTTGCTTAGCTGCCTCCCAGATCTATAAGACATCTCCTCCCCACCATTGTTAGTTTTCAAACTCAAAGGGGTAACATAGAAAAATATCCCCCTCTCCCTGAAAATAAAGAAACTTTTTTTAGCCTATATGTCCCTGAACCTATCACGTTTAAAGATCTACCCTCCATGTCTACATGTTTCATGATGAATTTGGATCCTCTCCGTTATGAAAAAGTAGCAAATTATGATTCATTCCAAATCTAACACTTAACATATCCACATACATTGTAATCATTCCTAAGTTGCACTAAAAAATCATAACCATTCACTAGAGAATTAATGGTTCATAGTGGCCTCTTCATTATTATTATTATTATTTTTTGACAGTGGAGAGAGGATGCTTTGCGGATATATCCCATGAATTTGGAAAAAAAAAATCAAATATCAAAGAACACATGGATAAATTAGCGAAAGCCCCTTATGTAAATGTCCCCACTCAAAATTTGAAATCTTTAAGTTTGTGGTCTGGCCAAAATAAGCTAAATTGCATAAAAATACCCATTATGTAGCACAAAAGTACCACTAGTTGTAGTTTACGTGAAAAAAAAAATTAAAATACCACAATGTTTCTTCCGCTAAACCCCCCTAAACAGCCTTTAAAAAATAGTGTAGAGACCAAAATATTTTTCGGGTCATTAATCCCTCCAACGGTAAATAAACCGCCAACGGTGAAATGGGAACATATCGCCTTTGCCTGCCAAAAAAATTTCTTTTTGCTTGTATGCCCTAAATCCATCTATAAGATGTTTAAAGATTTACCCTCCACATCCCCGATGAATTTGAAAAAAAGATCAAATACGAAAGAACGCATGGATAAATTAGCACACAAAAAAAACCCCTCATTTCAATGCCCCCACTCCAAATTTGAAATCTTAAGGTTGTGGTCCTACAAAAATAAAATAATATTAACTAATGATTAAGTAACTGAACCTATCATATGTGTTTAATAGAACTAGATCTAAAGGTAATAAAGAAAATAGATGTAATGAATACATAACTAAAAGTGCACGAAGTAGAGATACAAACACAGAAGTCACTCTGCCTCCACTCTCAAATACTTTTGGGTTCTCCTCGAAGGGCATGCAACTGTATTTCCTTGATGGAGAAATAGCAAGAAATGGAGCGAGAATGTTCATTTGAGCGTGTACGCTGGCCGGATAACTGAAAGCACTAATGCTGCTCCCCAAGGCTTGAAGGCGAATCTGGAAACTTGAGATCTTTAGATCAAGCAGCTTTTTAACACATGGATTGTGCATCGAATGATAATTTTGACATGAATGCTTTGGTTGCCTGTCGAAGGCTGGCTTGGAATGGTGAAAGAGATTGAATTAATGTCACGGCGCTGGGAGTTGCTTCAGAAGGCTTCGAGATAACCCTGGAAACCACATTTAACATCAGGATAGTTTGCGAGGAAATCAGCATGCTGATAAGAAAAATGCATATTATCAAAAATGAAATATGAAAGTGAATATATATATATAAATGGGAGTGATCTTCTAGATGTATGGAAGTCGAGCTGGAGAATATGTTCTACTGTTTCAGATTAAAGGGAGGGTTTTTGTTCATGAAAACCACCTTTAACATAGGCCAAATCGATAAGAACCAATTTAAAGTTTTTTAAAGTTCTTTTTTATACAGAAACAATCTTATAAGTGGACTTAGCCTCCAATCAACCACTCTAGGGCGATTTTTGTTCAAGTTTTACCCGAAATGCCGAAAATACCCTCCCCCCTTCTCCCTCCTCCCTCCTCACCCACCCTAACTACCCTCACCCACCTTCACTCCTCCCTACTCCCTCATCCTCCTCCGTCCCACGGTTGAGATGGGAAGGAGGGAGGACAGTGAGATACGAAGAATAAGAAAGGAAGGAGGGAGGAGAGTGAGATAGGAAGAAAAAGAAAGGAAGGAGGGTGGATGGACGAGCGGGTAGGAAAGTGAAAGTGAAATGGAGAAGGGAGGAGGAGGGAGAAGATGTGGAGGAGAGAAGAGGGTAGATGGAGGCAGGAGCATAGGTAGAGGAGGTGCAGAACATAGATGGGACGGAGGTGGAGAAGGGCGGAGGTGTGTCGGATGAGGAGGGAGAAGGGAGAAAATAAGAGGGTACATTGGGCATTTCAAGTAAAAGTTGAACATAAATTGCTCTAAGTGGTTGATTGAAAGCTAAACCCACTTATAAGATGGCTTCTGTATAAATAAAACTTTTTTAAGGTGGTTTCAATCGATTTGGCCTATTTTAAAGGTGGTTTCCATAAATAAATAAATAAATAACCTAAAGGGAGGGAAGGAGTGAAATTTCATCAGGTTTAAAATGTAGCAACTCAAAGCATAAGAAATGCATGTTCCCTCCCTGCCTACCTCGCTCATTTGCTTCATTTGAGCAATTATCTTAAAACAATCGTTTGAATTTGATTTGAACCATTGGTAATTTAGACAGATCAAATACATATAATTTGATTATTAAGTGGATCCAATGTGTGTCATGCATCTTGAGCAGATAAATAAACAAATTGGATGTATTCAGCATATTCGCATAGATCCAAAACTAACCCGATCAATATGTTCCCTACTAGACTCATTTGCTCACTGCTAACCCCCGCTTCTATATGTTTTAAATCATTGTATCAAATAAATCTGTGCTCCTAAAAGCTAGTCGTTTGCCCTTTACCATACCTGTTTGTTTTTTTAATCGAAAGAAGAATTCCAACTTCCAATTTGTTTCAGTTGGTTTCTACTTCAGATCTATAATTGAAGTTGAATTGTAAAGCCATCATCATAAAGAACTTTGAATAGCCATGTCTAACATTTTCCTAGAGTATCATAACCATTTGACAACATGTCAGTTTCTTTTGCACTGTCAAGGTTCAGACAACAATGGAATTAGGGAGTGATAAGAGAAGTTCTGTCTATGGCTATCAAATTGGTAGGAATTCACAATGTGCTACAATACAGTGATAGAATGGTCTATAAGTGGTACCTTTTTTTAATTGGTAAACTTTTAGACAGACATGGCACCATGTTTCCGAGAAATCATTCATTCAAAGGTTGGAATGAATGAATGAATAATGATTTCTTAAAAACAGCTTCCAGAAACAAGAAAAAAACTTCTCGAAATAGAGAATTTCGCAACAGATTCCATATCGGCTAGCTGTCTCTAATCAAACCTTGTGGAGTCACCAGGATCCAATGTTTCCTGTTGTGTTTAACAAGAGCTAGGATTCGCATAGTGACCCCAAAATATGAGATAAAGGTTTTTTTTTAATCGTTCGTTTGTATTATCATTCTAAAGTCCTTAATCATTACACCACAACTCTGAAGTTAAGGTGAGAGTTAAGAGTTATATTTTTACATTCTAACATGACTCCGCAGGTTGAGTTCCCTTTTTATGGGCTAAAACCTAAACTCACACAGCAACATAAGTTTAGAAAAATTCACTTGTCCGGTGGTATTTGAACCTGGATTGCTCTGATATCATCTCAAAGTCTCTAACCATTGTACTAAACTCAGAAGTTATGGTGATGGTTATGGGTTATATTTTTATATTCCAACATGCCCCCGTAGTTTTATGAGCCGAAACAAAAGGGCCAAAACCTGGACTCCCATAGTGGTGTTAATTTTTAGAAAATCCATTTTAAATTTGTGGCCAGTGGGATTCGAGCCCGGGTTGCTCCAATATCATCTTAAAGTCCTTAACCATTTCACCAAAACTCCAAAGTTATGGTGAGGGTTGAGGGTTATATTTTTATATTCTAACATCATCTTTTAAGAAATTTTATACACTGAAACATGCAGAATTGTTGATGTTATATCATAAAGTTAAATATCTTTATGCAGATGAAAGCAGGTACATCTGAACAAGAACTAGAAAGGAAAGCTAAGGGTGATACCTGGTTAAACGGTGTAGAAATTTCACTTCGTAATTGTTGACACTGGGGTTAAGGTAGAATATCCATTTGTCTTTCGAACAGAAGAGGCGCTTTTTTCTCTACCAGCTGTTCTGAGCACATTTTAGTATATCATAAAACACTCTAAGCCTCTCCGTCTGATACTTCTGTCCATTATCCAAAGTCTCCTTTATGACTCTTTCTTCCAATTCTTCCTCTTCTTCGAAGGTTAGATGTTTGTATTGCATTTTATTTTCGAGTGCTCTCCGAAATATTTCGTTCCTATGATACTTGTTGTACCGGGTCTGTCCATCCAAAGCACATTTTACCATTAGCACTCTCCCTCATATTGGCTTTTCTAATTCTTGCCATAAATCTTTGGTAAAAATATTTCTTGGAGCACACTACTGACTACTTTTTCCTGCTTCTATTCTTGTTTCTGATGATCAGGTTATGATGATTTCAAACTACTTCTGTTCACATGGTCCTCCACAACATGCCTTGTATTCATGTCAGTTTCTTGGTGATTATATGATTCCATACATGAGCTAATTGCGTGCAGAAGATCATGGATTGCTTCTAGTTTGTGATCTAAAATTTTCCTCCAGAAGATTATGAACTTCTATTTGCAATCTCTACAGAAACCAGCATCATTTCTAGCACTTAAAAGTGACCCTCTCATCTCTTCTTTATATAATCTCTTCATGACAATATAATGTTCTTGATGAACTTATCTTGCGGGAACTTTTGATGGTAACCCTGTATGACAAGAGCACAAACGGACATACAGAACTAGATACCGATAATTAATCCCCTCAAAGAAATCATGCATGCTTACTTTATGCAGACGGGGGACTACCACCACATCCAGACAAATAAAACGGGAAGAAGAAATCGAAGTGGAAAAGACTCAAAATGAAGTTGAAAGTCAAATTCAACTACAGAACCAAGAAATTTCCAAAACAAACTTAGACTCACAAAATGAAGTATGAGGAATCAAGTGAAACTATGAAAAATCAAGTTTAATAAAGGAGGAATCTACATCCGGAAAAGCTTGAGCTGAAACTTTGAAAAATCCATCAAAAGCTAAGAATACAAAGCAAATACATGTGAGGAGATTTATGACTGGGATAGTTTGAATAGGGACAAGTAAAGAGACGAGGAATCAAACTATGGATGCTCTTGACCATGAGGCAACAAGATGTGTTGAGTTGAGTGAGATACAGACACAATTCAAGACTAAGTACAGCATACAATTATTGCATTGCGTAATCTAAGCATAGCTTGATTCACAATGCCAGAATAGTATGTTGTTCGTGGTCTTTAATTGTACATATATTTTACTCAATACTACACATCATCTCACCTTATAGTCCAGAGAATCCATAGTTAGCTTCCCATTCTAAAATATTTGTCACCTCAAGCTATTCCAGTCATAAGTCTCCTCGTTTTAGCTTTTGCCTCCTTACCTTTTAATGCATTGTTCAAAGTTTTAGCTAAATCAAAACTAAGAAGCAAAGGATTCATGGGATTGCAAAGACAGGACTTTGCTTTCCATAAACGGCAGATAATCACTTGAATAGTTAAATTAACAAGTAGGGTTGAGGATTCATCAGTAATCCATTTTACAGTGGACTTGCCCATGATATGAAATAGAGGAACGGAAGTTGGTCAAGAAGGGAAGTTGGTCAAGAAGGGTTACTTCTAACAGGAAGTGAAGCTCGGACTTATGATAGGCCGATGAGAACTGTTTGTTAATACTGCACCACTGTTATAGATCAGATGAAGCATTGGGACTAAAGCTACCATTGAGGATGTACTATGCAGATTGCAGGTCCATTGGAGGAAGAAAAGGTAGGCCTCGAGAAGGTTAACCTGGAATGTGTTAGAAGCTGAAACAAAATTAATATATTATTCAAAGTCAAACTTATTGGTCCAAGAAGCTGCCACATTAACTTTGACACAGAATTATGAATTTAAAATGTTTGTAATATTATTGATGATATGAGTACTCAAAATGGGTGCTCCACTGAAGGCTTTGTTAAATGCTTAATGGAACCATCTCTAAAAACAAAACCAAAACAAAAATCAAATTGCAAAAGCATAACCTTAATAGAAATGCTTCTAGTTGACATATCAATTATCTACTGTCAAGACACTCAATAAAATCTTAAGTCCCCAATACTTGCATACTTCCCTCCAGATTCTTTAACAGCTTCATATTGCACTAAGAAATTGATAGGTTTGTCAAATTATCATGATTGCAACACAGGTTTATATCGAAAAAACTATTCTAACTCAATTGTAAAACTCCCATACTTCATTGTAACGCTGAACTGTAATGGATAAAGATTTGATAGGTATGGAACCAAATTAACTAGGGTCTATTTAGTTTTTTAATATACATTCATAACTGCATATAATTGTAGAATAACCTTGATGTCCTGATGGGATGTCTGCTTAGACCAAGAACGGTAAATATATGTTCCAAATTTAAGCTAGATACTTCAATTTTCTTAAGGGTGTGTTTGGATTTCAATGGGGTCAAGGGAAGTTAAGGGAAACTAGGTGAGAGAATGGAATGGAAGGGAAGGGAGTTCTCTTCCCCTTGGTTACATCCCAGTTTGGGGGGTAACAAATTTTATACTATTAGGGGGTGAACCAAGGGGAACTAGGGTGAATAACTTCACCTCGGTGAACCAAGGGGAACTAGGGTGAATAACTTCACCTCCTAAATGTTCCCAAACAAGGTGAATGGTTCCCCTAACTTCCCTTCACCCTTATTCCCCTCAATCCAAACAGGCCCTAACTGTTGAGTATGTGCTTCATAAGTCCTGTTCTTGGTCAGAATTCATGGGTATGATCGCATCCAAATATCTAACATGTGACAGGCCAGTAAAGTTTGATACACAATAACAAAGTTTAAGATGTCCTCAAAAACAAAATTGCTAAATTTTATGACAACTAAATTTTATGACCACCTCAATTCTATTAATCCAGAAGTGTCATTTGATTTTCATGTGAGTTTTTGTGACCGTTTTGCCATTTCTAATTGCTAATATTTTGAATAAAAGAAATGAGGCGAGGGTGATCAGGAGGGCTTCTTTTTTTAAGCTTATAAGTTATGATGGCTTTTGATGGCCTTTGGTTTTTTTTGATAAAAATGTTATTAAAAATATATGAGTAGAATAGTCATTTACTTGGTCAAACCTAGCTTACTTAAATGAGCTTATAAGCCTGGTTTTCAGACATTAGGGAACCTCAACCTTTTTAAGTAGGAGTTGAAAGCTAGTTATCTGGGATTTTACCAAGGACAAATTTTTAAAAAAAGACCGCTTTTTAATATTTATAAGCAAAATCGACCACTCCCAATTTTATTTAGCAAAATCGACCGCACGGGACTATTAGTCCCGTGCAGTTCTCTGTTCTCCCAAATTCCCCCAACGACATCCTCTCCCCATCCCAGTCCCTCTCCCTCTCCTCCCTCCTCCGCCCTCTCCCTCTCCTCCCTCCTCCTCTGCGAGGCCCACCAGATCCCCGGCCTGCCCCCAATCCCCCACCTGGCACCTCTGTCAACTCCCCCTCTTCCTCCCCTCACCACCACCACCGAACCTCCCCATCGCATTAATCAGCGTAGATTTCCCATGGAAATTAGACGCGTCGACGAGGAGGACGACGAGCGAGCGGGGGCCGGAGGGGGAGAGCATCTTCGGGGCGACGGAGCGGTCGAAGTCGAAGTCAGGGAGGAGGGCCTCCGCGGAGCGGAGTCGTCGGAGAGAAAGGTGGCGTTGGAGGTCGAGGTCAGGAAAGACGTGAGCTTTGAGGAGGATGAGGGGCGGAGGAGGAGGGGGTCGTCGGGGTTGTAGGTGGCGGCGATGATGGTGAAGACGAGGACGAGGAGGACGAAGACGGCGAAGCAGAGGTTGCCGATGAGGCGGAGGGCGTCCTGGCCCAGGTTTTCGGGCCGGGCGTGGTAGTCGGGGGATTTGGGGGATTGAGGTCAGGAAAGAACAGAGAGGAGGTCGGTGGGAATTTTTGGGAGAACAGAGAACTGCACGGGACTAGTAGTCCCGTGTGGTCGATTTTGCTAAATAAAATTGGGAGCGGTCGATTTTGCTTATAAATATTAAAAAGCGGTCTTTTTTAAAAATTTGTCCTTTTACCAAACATGTAGATGTGAAAAGGCTAGCTTAAATCTATTTTGACCAAAAAATAAGCTCCACCAAACACCCTCTAAGCTACCTTCATATTACCTTCTTCATCCTGCCCTCTAGTTTCTCCATCTCTCATTTTTCTTCATCCTTCAAACCTCTCTTTCACATTATTCTAACATCAAATCAAAGGCAGGACATGGTCTATAATGTCAACTTCTCTATCCTACCAACAGATCCTTTGTCCTACCCTAAACCTCATACATTCCTCGTATTTCCGTGTTGCATCAACAATACGTATTTTCTTCGGAATTTATAGAATCTTTTCCAAGTATATATATATATATATAGAGAGAGAGAGAGAGAGAGAAATAATTTTACATTATTCCCTCTCAATGAAGTAGTATGTTTCGTCTTCACTCTAATTTTGAAAAACTTTCCTGCTTTGATGTGAGTAGATTCTAATATGCAAGTACTGTTTTATTCTGCAAGCCATTGCAGAAGCGAGAAATATTAACATGTAAGGCTTCCAATAGAGGTTTATCAGGTTTCGAAGGAAATCAAAGTACACGCATAAGATGGAATTTGTTTGTATGCGTAGTCGACAAGTTCTCATTCTTGCTTCATTTTAGTCCTATTACTTTTTACTCTGTTCCTTGAATCCTGATATGAAAAGCGCACAAATGCATGGCTATTGGTATCTGGACAATTTAGCAGGTAGCAGTGTAATAACATATGCAAGGACACTTTTCTAAACATAAGAATGTGAAATATATGTGTTTTTCCTAGGTGTAGTAATTATTCATCTATAAACTGTATTTGAGGATAAATAATTAGCTGACAAGATGTAAGCTTGAAATGAATGAATCTTGTACCTGAATCCCTGCTATTTTTGGCTTTTGATTTAATTAAGGTTCTGTAACTGCAAGCAGCCAATCACATCTTGCATTTTTTGTATTCCGAGCCAGATGAACTTGAACCCACATTAACCTCATTTCCACCGCATCATGTCAACAAACATATCATTGGACAGTGGGATTCCTGATGTGATGCAACCCGCATAATTTTGTATGGAATATTTGCAATAGGCAGCTGTTAACTGTGAGACATAACTGTTAAAACTGCTCACCTTCATAGATGCTGCCACAGCTTATGTTGATACTAACCTGCCACCTATCTGGGACGAACATTGTAGTTGACTCAAAGGCTCATGATATTTCACATTATATGATTACTGTGCTCCAGTTGTATTGGTTCTGGTCACCTAAATCCTATAAGGGCAGGTCATCAGAAGAAAAACAAAAGGCACATTGTTTTACATTAGCAGATGCAGAAATTGCCCATCTAGACATGTATGTTTGATGTGAAATACACAGGTGGCAACGTAACCTTGAATGGAATAACTCTCATACCTGAGATCTGCCATGTTTGCAAATGTAACTGCAATCAGTCACAGCTTCTTCTTGCATGTTTAGTGTTCTGAGTCCTCAGGATTTTGGGCTCCTATATTTTATCTTTGGCACTGCCAGTGATGGTCCTTCTCTACTACCTACTGGGGCCTTCATCCCTGTGAATATGCCAACATCGGATAAGATAACCAGGAAAAAAGTCTCTTAAAAGTTTAGGAAGAGCAAAGACAACACCACTAACAGTGGTTACTAAAACATATTGAGAACTTCATGAATAATTCATCTAAACACTATTTAGGGTCAGTGATCTCAGTGTTTATTTCCTCCAACCATTAACGAACTATCTGAAACCATACAAAATTTTCCTGGTTATTACTGGACCATAGGATCATATTTTGGTCATTACTGGACCAGGTCTACAATATCAGTTCATAAGGATGATACCATGCCTTAAGTTAAAACAAGGTGGCATGCACGCACTTTTTATGCTTTGAGTAACCGCATATTAAATCTGATAAGGGCCTGTTTAATTGTTTTCCATAATTACAAGGAAACATGTTTCCTTCCTTTTTTGAGGCTTCCTTCACTTTCATGGAAAAGTATTTCTTCTGTTCGTTTTGCCAAAAAAACATGGGGTATAAGTAATTTCCAACACTTTCCTTGGTTTGGTTCAACTTGGAAATAGACTAGTTGATGTGTGAATAGCTTTCCTCACTTTCTTCAGTTTGGTTCAATTTTTTTAAAAAAAAGAAGAAACCAAGGTTGTGCTCACCATGACGTACTTACCACTCACATAGGACAAAAGTATTGCCAACATAAACTGAGGGGTGAAGACACCCACCATCACATAAAAATTGCTTGCAATGGTAAACCCAACGGCTATTTGACGTACTAATTTGCAAATTATTTAAAGATTTGAGGGACCAATTTCAAATAGGAAGATTTAAGGGAGTAATTTCAAAATGTTTAAAGATTTGAGGGATTAATTTTATATTTAAGGTAGTAATTTGCAAAATGTATAAAGAGTTGAGGGATTAATTCAAAATATGAACATTTAACGGAGTAATTTCAAAATGTTTAAAGACCTGAGAGACCAATTTTAAATATGAGGTAGTAATTTGCAAAATGTCTACAGATTTGAGAGACTACATTCAAAATATGAACATCTGAGATAGTAATTTCAAAATGATTAAAGATTTGAGGGACTAATTTAAATTTGAGGTAGTAATTTGCAAAATGTTTGAACATTTGAGGGAATAATTCTAAATTTTTATTAATTGGGGGACTAATATCAATATAACACATGCCGGGGACTATTTTGAAAAGGATTGGAAATTAGGGAGACGAGACAGAAACCCAAAAGTAGAAGGTGGAGTTTTTTATTTGGATAAATCATGGCTTCACCCAATTTCAGGGTTTTGAGAGCGGAAAATTGTTTTTTGTGTTCCCGGTGAGCTGGCACGTGTTTTCAACTGAACCTTACCTTTTTTCTCATCCAAACACCTAAAATTGAAGGAAATGAGCAAATTTTGATGTGTTTTCTTCAATGTCAGTTTTCTAACCAACCAAACAGGCCCTAAGATGATTATTTGCTAGACATAGAGAAGACATGCTACTCCCTATACGCTTTTGCATGTGCTCATAAAACTGACCATACAACAAGGCACAAACAAGTGTTAGAATTGGGGGTGAAGCCCAAACCTGCAGACGAGCTTCTCCAGGTGAGGATGAAGCTCAGGAGAGGTCAGCGGCTGTAGGCGGAGCTCGAGATCCAGGCAAGGTCTCGACGAAGAGTTGCAGGCAAGTTCTCGTGCTGGCGACTTCTCGTGCAGGCGACTTCTCGTGACTGGTGACTTCTCGTGCATGCGAGTTCTTCGCAGCTGCAGGCGAGATTGACTCATAGGCGGGCTCGTAGCTAGCAGGCGGGGTCGAGGCGCTCGTGACAGGCGAGCTCGTGGAGGATTTCCAGGCTGTCGACAGCCTGTCGACAGCTCATCTAGGGTTTCCCTATAAAAGGGAAACCCCATGGCCGAAACCATAGATCTCCCCTTTTCTCTCTCGCGATCTCAACCTCCTGGCGGCGAACTCAAAAACGCAGCAGCGTTTTTCTTCCTCTTCTCATCTCGTGATTTTCCAGCTCACAGTTTGTTGAGGGGAATTTATTGTGGGAATATTCTCTATTAAAAGGGGTATTTAAGAAGAGGGAAATCGTACTATAGCTATAGTAACGATTGTATTTATTGAGGAATCTCAAGTTGGAGATTCGCTCTTGAATTATAATTTCTTGTTGATTAATAAAAAATTTATTGTGTGGCTCCCGAGGACGTAGGCAGTTGTCGAACCTCATTAAACTTGGTATACTTTTCTCTATACCGTGTTTCTGCTGTTTTAGGGGTTTTGCGTAGCCCGACGGGTAGTATTCCCAATAACTGGTATCAGAGCGTAAAACGATCTAGAGGAAGTCAGATTCAAGTGGGAGTCATGACCGCGGATGAAGAAAAAATGAGACTTGAGAAGTTTGATGGAACAGATTTTGGATTCTGAAAAATGCAGATAGAGGATTATCTGTATTAGAAAAATTTGTATCAACCACTATCGGGAAAGAAGCCAGATTCTATGAAGGTAGATGAGTAGAACCTTCTAGACAGACAAGCCCTCGGAGTTATCAGATTGATGTTGACTCGCAATGTTACGTTCAACATAGCAAAGGAGAAAACCATGGCGGGTCTTATGGCAACACTCTCAAATATGTATGAAAAGCCATCAGTCGCGAACAAAGTTCATTTGATGCGGTGGTTATTCAATCTGAGAATGGCTGAAGACGCGTCAGTAGCACAACACCTCAATGAACTCAACACGATCACAACCCAATTGAGTTCAGTTAAAATTGAGTTTGATGAGGAAGTTCGGGCGTTGATACTTTTGTCTTCCCTACCAGAAAGCTGGAACGCTACAGTCACGGTAATGAGTAGCTCGTCGGGAAGCACCAAGTTGAAGTTCGACGACGTTCGTGATCTGGTTCTCAGTGAGGAAATCCGACGGAGAGAGCCGGGTGAAGCTACAACCTCTTCAATATTGCATACAGAATCAAGAGGTAGAAATTCAACCAGAGAGAACGGACGAGAAAAAGCAAACTATAGAGGTAGATCAAAGGACAGAAGGTCCAAATCCAGGAATCCAAGCAATAGCTTGAAGGCTATCGAGTGTTGGAATTGTGAAAAACCCGGACATTACAAGAATCAGTGCAAGAGTGCACAGAAGGAGAAGGAGACGAAGGCAGAGGTGAATGTCACTTCCACTTCAGAAGGAGACGACGCATTGATATGCTCTTTGGAGAGCAAGGAGGAATCTTGGGTGTTAGATTCAGGAGAGTCGTTTCATGCCACTTCTCAGAAAGAATTCTTCGAGAAGTATGTCCCCGAAAATCTTGGATACGTTTACCTTGGTGATGATCAACCGTGTGCTATTGTGGGCAAAGGTGTGGTGAAAATTAAGTTGAACGGGTCAGTATGGGAGCTGAAAGATGTCAGATATATTCTCGACCTGAGAAAGAATTTAATATCCGTAGGCCAGTTGGCTGACGAAGGATACATTACGACCTTCCATGAAGATGATTGGAAGATCTCAAAGGGCGCAATGACGATTGCCCGAGGTAAGAAGACTGATACCCTATATATGACAGCAGATGCACGTTATTTGATCTCAGTTGCAGCAGGCAATGAGACTTCAAAGCTGTGGCACCAGAGACTCGATCATATGAGTGAGAAGGGAATAAAGATCATGCACACAAAGGGGAAACTCCCAAGTCTAGAATCAGTTGATTTAGATATGTGAAAGAATGCATACTTGGAAAACAGAAGCGAGTTAGCTTTCAGACAAGTGGCAGAACCTCCAGGAAAGAGAAGCTAGAGCTCGTTCACTCAGATGTTTGGGGACCAACCACCACCGCGTCCATTGGTGGAAAACACTACTTCGTGACTTTTATCGATGATCACTCTCGAAAAGTGTGGGTCTATTTTCTGAAGCATAAGTCAGAAGTATTTGAAGCTTTCAGGAGATGGAAAGTCATGGTCGAGAATGAGACCGGTCTGAGAATAAAGAAGCTTAGGACCGACAATGGCGGTGAGTATGAAGACACCGGATTCAAGAAGTTCTGCTATGAGCACAGGATCAGAATGGAGAGAACCGTGTCCGACACGTCTCAGCAAAATGATGTAGCTGAGCGGATGAACCGAACGTTAACAGAGAGAGTCAGAAGCATTCGGGTACAGTCAGGCCTACCGAAGAAGTTCTGGACAGAAGCGGTCAACACAGCAGCTTATTTGATCAACCGAGATCCATCGGTTCCATTGGAGCACAGAATACCAGAGGAGGTATGGTGCGGAAAGAAGGTAAAACTCTCATATTTTAAAGTTTTCGGTTGTGTAGCTTACGTGCATATTAGTGATCAAGGCAGGAATAAGCTTGATCCCAAGTCAAAAAAATACACTTTCATCGGCTATAGTGAAGATGAGTTCGACTACCGTATTTGGGACAACGAAAACAAGAAAGTGATTAGGAGCAGAGATGTGATATTCAACGAGAAGGTGATGTACAAGGACATGCACAAGACAGATGACTCAAAGAGCGAGTCAACATTTATAGATGCAGATGTTGTCCCAGGTAACCTCTCGAAAGAAACCAATGCAGAGGGTCATCAGCCAGAAGAGCCTGTTGGACAAGATGGTGCGCAGGAACCCGAAGCACCAGCTCCGATATTGAGAAGAACTTCTCGTCAATGTTTAAATGTCGGATGTCGGGTTCATATCGGTCGGCCAAAATTCATGTCGGATAGCGAAAATCGGGGATATATCGGGGGATATGAAAAAATATCGGATTGTCATATCGAATAGGTTGATATAATATCATAAATGGAATCTTCACATAGTTAATAATTATATTGTCTAAACATATGAAAAATGGAATCTTCACATACTTGATAATTATATTGTCTAAACATATTGTCTAAACATACTTGATAATTATATTGTCTGAACATATGAAAAAGTACATAACTTATTGATGTTAGGATCACTAACCAATTACAGACACCTGATTTTCGAGTCGGGTTTTTCAAACTTGACCCAATAAGCTTAAAACCGCTTTTTCTAAAATTTGG